AGAGAAAGGAATGTAAAGGAGGAGGAGGAGGAGGAAGAGGAAAAATGTGAAGGAGATAGATAAGAAAGGCAGGTAGAGAAAGAGTGGGTTAAAGTTCTTTTTCTGGCAATTGCTTTAGGACAGGGGTTCCCAACCTGGGGTGCGAGACGATATTCCAGAGGGTGCGAGAAAAGTCCAGGTAAATAATAGGATATTGGCTATAAGTTGGCATTTTTATTTATTATTTATTTCAGGGGGTGCGAGGTTTGAGTGAAATTTCTTTAGGGGTGCGGGGCGAAAAAAAGGTTGGGAACCAATGCTTTAAGAGCATTTTTTTTTCTTTAGTTGCCTGATCCCTCCTCACTGCTCTGAGTGAGAATTCTGCCTGGGATGCTTTTTAAGCACACTTCCCCCAATCTTGCTGCCTGGACATGAAGCCATACGTCTTGTTAGTGACCTGTGTAGTATCTTTCTGGCTACATTCCTCTCCTTTACCTTCTTTATAATTCAAAGTTCAGAGTGCATGACTAAAAGTTTGAACCTTGGCCAAAAAGCAGAACTGAAGGAGGTATGTGATATTCTCTCTCTTTCCCCACCTTTTTTCTGTAAGTATAGCTCTAATTCATTCTTTAATTCATTGCATTTTTATAGCACTGTTATCTGCAAGGCTGACGTTCAGAATACCTTTTACCCTGAATACCACTGGTCTGCCTCTGCAGCCCATAAGTTCATACATAGTGTAACACAACACAATCAGGTAAAGAGCTGAAGAGACAGCATACATTATGCTGAGTGGCAATATACAATATAATTTCTCTTAATTTTGGTGGATTTCCGCCCCCACTGGCTGAGCATGTAAGGCAAACTACATATTTGCCTTACTTCTGATTCAATATGTATTGCACAAACCTGAAAAATAAAAAAAAATCAAGCAAGGTTGGTTGTATAAACGCACCCAAATGTTATTACACTTGATCTGCCCTGCCTCCCTACATTTACATGAGAGGCAAACTTCCTTTCCATACGATGCTGCTTTGGAAAGTCTTCCTGACAGAACTTATGTTCTCAATGTCTTTCCTTCCTCAATGGACTTTTTGAATGGAGTGGAAACACACACATGCACCAGAAAAAGAAAGAGAAAGAAAGAAAGAAAGAAAGAAAGAAAGAAAGAGAGAGAGAGAGAGAGAGAGAGAGAGAGAAAGAAGGAGGGAGGAGAGGAGAGGAGGAGGAGAGGAGGAGGAGGAAGGAAGGAAGGAAGGAAGGAAGGAAGGAAGGAAGGAAGGA